TTCAGTTTGAAACTCTGTGAGCGGTGGCTGAGAAGGGACGGGGTTATGTATGCATGTCTCTTTGAGGGAGCAATTGTGGGGGAAGAGGTGATAGTAAAATAAAACAAAACCAAACCATCAACTTATAAGCATTAGTTTCCTGTCATCTCTCCATCACTTCGTCAAAGGGATGTGTCTGTCATCTTATTCCTCCTTGAAATTGTGGTCTGGTGAAAATTCTTTCATTTCAAGGCTCCTTTTGTGGGAGAGAAATTAATGATTTGTAGAAGAGAGAAAGAAGAAAGAAGCAAAGAGAGAAAAACCGAGGAAAGACAAATCCAGATGATCTTGGAGGCTCATTTCCTTCCCTTTGGAAGCGTAGAAAGATAATAGCTCAACAGAAAAATTATAGATGCTACTGGTAGCTGACCTGGGACAGGAACTTTTATAACAAGGCCACTCTCTAAATCAGGAACAGTTACATGAAACAGTTATTACTATTGCAGAGTCAGTAAACTAGGGGTTCTTTGTCCTTACCCTAAAGATATGCGGAACTTGGCAGCGGAGGGTCCCTGTCAGAGAGGCCTGTCCATGGTGCGTGCAAGCAAGCTATGCTCAGTGTGAGTAAGGCTCTGTGTGACATAATGAAAGCCACTTCTGTGGTATCGAAAGTTTGAATAACCTGAATCTAGTCATGAGAAAACATCAGACAAACACAAACACAAATAAAGCAACATTTTAAAAAAATAACTTGCCTATACTCTTTAAAAATACCAATGTCATGAAACACAAAGAAAGACTCAGGAACTGTCCCAGACAAAAGGAGACTAAAGAAACATGACAATTAAAAGCAATGTATGATCAGAGATTTCCTTTTGCTATAAAGAATATTAATGGGGCAGTTTATGGAATCTGAATAAAATCTATAGATTGTTAATAGTATTCTATCAGTGCTAATTCCTGATTTTGATCATTGTAACATGGTAATATGAGAGAATGTTTTTGTTTGTATAAAATACACCCTAAAGTACTTAGGGGAAAGGATATCACATCAGCAATTACTCTCAAAGGAGAAAGCCAGGGAAGGATAAAGAGAATGTGGTAAAATGTTAATATTTGGGAAATCTGGGTGAAGGGGGTTCAGAAATTCTTGGTACTCTTTCTGCAACTTTTCTGTAAGTCTGAATTTTTAGCAAAATTAAAAGTAGAAAAAAAGAATTGAACATGAGTAAACAATCTACAGGATTTTGATCTCAAAATTATTACAACTCAAGTCTCTGATGGTGTAAATACTGAGATTCTATAATACCTATTTTTAGAACAAACCATCGGGTAACTCTTTAATGCCTCTGTTTTTCCTGATACAGAGTCAATGCTAAGCCATGAGTTCAAATTTACTTGAACAAATTTTAAAAGATGTGAAGTATCAAAATCATTTCTCACCCCTATTTCTCAATCTAGCTCTTCCAAAATAGGAAATGTCAGACAGCAGTTGACAAATTAAATATATAACTTGCTAGCATATTGATTTCAGATTAATTGGATTTATAACTAAGTTGTCTTTTTATGTTTGCTTATGTTAAAATGTGCTGGAAGTTTCTTTAAATAGAACACAGTCTATTTAATAAGAAGTCTATAAGAAAAGGGAGAATAGCCTAGTGCGGAAGAAAGAGATTCCATAGAGAATCAGAAAACATTCTAAATAACTAGTTAAGTAATTTTATGACTTTGGACAAGTAACCATACCTGAAAAATAATCAGATTGGAATGTTATAATAATAGCTAATATTTATTGGGCTCTCCCTATGAGTTGGACACTTTATTTGAACCTAAATTATCTCTAAGTTTCCTTTACGGAAGAACATTCTATCACTTGGAATATACTGCTCTTATTTTAAATGATTATAGAAATGTATCCTTGTGGGATCTTTTCTTTCACAACAATTCTTGGCCATAGCTATGATACATCAATGCTACTGCTTGGGTAGGAACTCTATTGTGTGCTGGTGAAAAGGGACAAGAGTAGAGGGCTTGCCTCTATATCCCAACACGAAGATCCACAGCCTCCGCTCTAAGTGCTCACCCACTGGCTTTGGAAAGGCATTTTCTTCCTATTTTCCAGAGCCTACTTACATACAGCCTTCCAAAACTGAATGCCCAACATCTAGCTGTAATCCTCTTCTCTTCCACCCCTACATCCACCCCAGAAGCGCGCTTGACACAGCTGTGTGGTTTCTCTGTGTTAACTTGCTTCAGCGCTCTGCACCTGCAGTGGTAGCTGGGTCCTGGAGCTTCCTGAGGGCAGATGCCCAGTCTCTAAGACCAGGGTGATTTTCACACATTGAATGCTCACTGAGTACCGGAAGTGCTGTGGGCTGACTAATGTAGGAACACAAACCAAACCACTGCAACTAAATCAACACAGCATTTCCTGGAACAGAGCTGAAGGCAAATGGCTGTAATCTTACAGAAAGCTACACCCTTCCCTCTAATCCAGGAGAAAATCTTGGTTGAGGAGGAAGAAATCTGCCTCTTCACCCTCATTTCAGGCCACATCCCATAAATTCTGGCATGTGGACGTCTCAGGGGTAGCCCCATCCAAGGTTAGGCCTAGGACCTGCCGGGTTAGTGATCTCACCATCCACTTTCAGGTTCTGGGGTTCCAGAACCAAGTAGGAGAAAGGGATTTCCATTTCCTGTGGTCCTACAACCATGACTTGTTATACTTCAGTCTCATTTGCTTACTCTCATTCCTAACATGCCTGGAAGTTCTCATTTGATTTTGTGTATACTGTGCCCTGTCTGGAAGGCCATTACTTGCATGCTCCATAATAAACTCATACTTCTTTGAAAATGAACCCAAGTAGTCACCTCCCCTCCCAGGGAGTCTTAGGCACACTCCTAAACTCCTCCAACATTTTGTGCTCACTCTTCCTCTGTTATAGAAAAGATCACTTTGTCTTATATTTGTGCATTGCTGTGTCTGTCCTCCGCACTAGACTCTACAAACACGTTGAGATTGATAACCACATCAGCTATCCTTGTGTCTCCAGCACTTAGCACAATTCCTAGCCACTGGTATTTTTTGGGGTGGGAGTGAGGAAGAGGAACAGGCCTCAGCTTCAGAGTCTGAAGCCCTCTGGACAGTCAGAAGTCGACCTGAGGACATAAGAAACTAAAGACCAGCAGAGTTTGACCTTTCCAGTTTGTGCCTCTCATTAATTACCAAAGATGAGGTCACTAAGGCAATGGAAGCTGTGAAGGCATGGACTTTGAATCCTTCCCTGTGGCTATAAAGGTACCCAATCCTGTCATTTAAATGCTAAATACTCTTAGCTGGCCCACACAGGAAATATGACAGGAAATCACACTTCAGCTCAGCCTCTGCTCTAGTTCAACCACAGTTTCAAAATAGTGCAGATTCCGGTGGAGGTTGAGAAAGCAAAACTTTGCTCAGCCAACAGCTAAGACTCCGCTTTTGCTCAGTTCTCTTCCAAATCATTTGCATATATATCTGATGCCTCTTACCTCCCATGGTAGTTCTTTAGGGGCAGGACTATTTGGTGGACAAATATCCTTCTTCTACCTTGACCCTCCCCCGCCCCAATAGTATTTTCCAAAGCACAGTGCCTGGCCCCAGGAGGCACTTAACCTGATTATTAAATTAACTCATTAAAAACTCTGGTCTTAGCCTGGCCCAGTGGCATGGCAGTTAAGTTCGCACGTTCTGCTTTGGTGGTCTGGGGTTCATCAGTTCAGATCCCGGGTGTGGACCTACGCACTGCTTGTCAAGCCATGCTGTGGTAGACATCCCACGTATAAAGTAGAGAAAGATGGGCACAGATGTTAGCTCAAGGCCAATCTTCCTCAGCAAAAAGAGGAGGATTGCCAGCAGATGTTAGCTCAGGGCTAATCTTCCTCAAAAAAAAAAAAAAAATCTGGTCTTTATTTTTAAATTCAAGGCCTAATAGCCCCGGAGGTGCTTTGGGAATCTAGAGCTCTCTGGCTCATTCCCATCCTTCATTGTTAGGTAAGTGAGTGTGGTCCTAAGGGACTTTCTTTTCCCCTCCAGGGCATAATCAGGTGAGATTCTTGGAGGTCATGGAAAGAGAAAGCTCTGATCTAGTTTCCTGTGGTGACTAGATCTCCAGTAACTACTATGGGGTCACAGAAACCCAGGACCAAAGCTTGGCTATCACTTTGAGTCCATGAGACCTCAATCATTAGTTATGGGACATGAATTAGAAATCTTTGCAATATCGAGTTTTGTTAGTTGGTGCATTTTATACTATATTTATCTATATTGATGTTTTGTACACCAAGGACAAGTTTACTTGGGGGAACCCTAAGGATCACAATGTTCTTCCCGCCCTTTGAAAACAATCAATCTAAGCATCTCTTAGAAGTATCTAGATTTCGCCTCTCGAAATACAGGTACTGGGCACGTCCTGAGTTCTTGTCTGAGCTGGGGGTTGCGATTTGTAGCTATCGTTCCATTTAGTGGCTGTGAGGAATCACAGTGAGATTCACTAACTTTACTTTTGAAAATTTCTCAAATGAAAAAGACCTGCATCTCACAGCTGCCTTTCTAAATGGCTCCGGCTGTTGGTTCTCTCCTCATTTTAACATCACAAAACCAGTCTTCTGAAGACCAGAGCATGTAAGAAATCTCCCCAACTTCATCTCGCACACAAATGTCCAGGCATCAGCAATGACTATACACAGAAATTCAAGTTCTGAGGCAACTTAAGCACATGAATGCCCTGACCCAAATTGATATCAGATACTGTAATTGGAAGCTGGTCAATTAAAAGTGTTTCTGGCCTGATTGCCTGTTGAAGGTTACTAGGATCCTATTGATCTTTTTACTTCCTGCACTAAAGATTTGCGAAACAGGCATAGTAGGACATTTTAGGGTTGCTAGAGAGAAGTCTACAGAGCCTCCTAAGAAGATACTCTATCCCACATAATATGGTTCGGGTCTTCGCTCTCAAAGCAGATTAAAATGTCACCAGTCTTACCTTTTGCAAGCACTTCTCCTCAGTCGTTTAGACAGAAGTGGTGATTATTCTTGCGTTGGCTGCGACAAGGCTGGTAACACGGATGTCTGGGGCTATTTGTGTAGAAGGAGAAATGAAAGAGGAATAAGTGTGATCACACTGTGACGACAGAAAGTCCAGAAAAGGAGAAGGAGGAAGTGAGGCTGGGCCCACCCTCTTTAGCCTCAGTTACTATCTTTCCCCTGTGGCTTTTCAGATGTTTACTCCCACGAACCACCCAAATATCTAAACTGGTTTCTGTGAAACACAAGAAAACTCAAAGAGCAAGTTGGTTCTGGGGCTAATCTGTGAGCCCTGGTGGGTTCTGGGGTGATTTTGGTGTTGACTTTTCTCCAGGAAAAGATAGTGCTTCCTTAATCAAGGTGACACCTCAGAATTACCTGGATCTGTTCAAAAAGAAGTAAACCTAGCCCTACCACCAGAGTTTCCCATTCAATATTTTAAAACGTTTTCTAGGACTGAGACTTAGGAATGTCTCCTAAGCCACTCCACCTTCTCCCTACCCTCCCTCCAGCTGCCTTCTTTAAAATCTTTGGTCTCCAGTTTGATCAGGTGACTATCTTCAGACTTCTGTGTCTCAGAAGCTGGACTGTCCTTATGTAAGGGTACTGTCAAGGGCAAACCTCAAGGCACAATCCAAAGGACACTTGTAGAAATGATTTCGTTAGTAGAGGGAGCCCCATATTTAGAGCCCAAAGACCTGGGTTTCAGTCCCAGTTTTATCTCTGTTGGATGTGAGACACTAAGCAAATCTCAACTTTCAGCTTCAGTTATATTAATAGTAACATCTAATAATAATCCTACTAGAGAGTTACTGTTATATCCCCATTTACAGATGATAAAACAGAGGCTCAAAGAGGTCAGACAATTTGCCCAAGATTACACAACTAAGAAGTACCAGAGCTGGTGATGTGGGCTCAGCAAGCTGAGGAGTCGAAAGAAAGATTTCTTGGACTCTCAAGGTCTGGTAGTAGTGCCCCTTTATTCAGAGAATGGCGTGGGGACAGGACCCATAGGTAGTGAAGAGCTGCAATGTGTTGAAGGTTAGGGCTAAATTTATAAGGCATAGGTAAGTGAGTTATTTTTTACCAGACAAAGGAGAGATCATGTAAAAAAGTCGTTACAATGGTATCAGTGCAGGTGGAATCTGGTTATCGGGTGGTCGTATAACTTTGGATACGAATCAGGTCAGGACGTCCTATGTGAGATATATAAGAAGATGATATAGATCGGTATGTAGGCCAGGACGCCTTGGGCTTCTCTCCCTGGGGCAGCCTTGATCCTCACAAGTGGGACTCAAATTCAAGACCACAAGAGAATGCTATTTTAGAAATACTGTGAGCAGTAGATTTTGAAAAATATGTTTCTATTTCTCACTCTGCTGTATCTACTGGGATTCTCTTAGATTGAAAGGGTCAAGAGACTAAGTGATAACCCCAATGGATTCCCAGCCAGCTGTCAAATGTGGAACTGACCACTGAGCCACAATATTTTCATCTGATGAATGAAGAGAGGGATACTCTCTCCAGTGCTTGACTTAGCCATGCTTCTGGGCAAGCTGGTGCTCTCTCTTCCTTCACCCTGAGACGTCCAGATTCTGGAATAACTCCCACAAGGGCTGGCTCATGGGGAAAGCTGAGTTAAAGAAGAAAAAGATTTTTACAAGGGAGTTAGTCAGTCCTTAATGTTCTCTAAGCGGAGAATATGGTATGTATAGTATGCAGATTTCCCCAAACATATTTGATCATGGAACAGTGTGTGTGCGCGTGTGAGTCTGTGTGTGTATGTGTATGGTTTTTCTCAGGGAACAATTTTTCAGCATAACTACACCTTAGGAAACGCTGTTATAACCTTTCCTCTCATCTGCTGGCATCAGTCTGAAGAATAATTGCCCCTCACTTGGAGCTGCTGTCATGTCGACAGGCCCCTGAAGTGGAAGAGCTGAGGAAAGATTTCTCGCTTGACTCACATTTCCTATCTCACTCATCCCAATGGCTTCAACTAGTATCACTCTGTGCCAAAGATTCACAAATCTCTATGCACAACCTGATCTCTCATTTGAACTCCACACCCGCACCTTAAATCCAGTATCCATAATTCAGTTTAGTAAATTTTGCAGGCTCCCACTCAAGCCTGCTCCTCCTCGGTATTGACCGTCTCAGGGAAAGGCCTGACTGACCTCCCAGTTGCCCAAGTCAGAAACCAGGCATCCTCTTAGACTACTCTCTCTCCCACACCCCCACCTATTATCAACCATGAAGTCCTATACATCATACCTTTGCCTAAGTGTCTCAAATCAGGCCATTTCTCTCCAACTCCAGAGCCATTACACTAATCCTTATATCTCACCTGGGTTACTGGATTCCAGCCTCCTTCACGATCAGCTTGGAGATTTTCTCACTCAGCCCCAAGGAGGAGAGGCTTTTAAAATACAAATTTCATCGTGTTACTTCCCAGCTTAAAACTCTTCAATGGCTTCTCATAGTTTTTAAGCAGCTCCTGTTAATTCCTAACACTCTCAGCTGGCTACTCCTTCCCCACCCCCACCCCCACCCCCGTGGTCTTGCTGCACTGGACTGAATTCCTTTATGTTGCTTGAATAAATCAATCTTGTTTTCCCTCTCTCTCTCCCTGCTGTCTCTGGAATATCCTCTCATCTCTTCACCTGACTAATTTCTACACATTCTCCACATCTTATTTCCTCCAGGAAACCTTCCAAATGGAACAGGGTACTCTTGCTATGTGCTCCCATTGCCCACAGGCATCCTTCTATCATTCACGCTTTTATAATTGTCTGTCTTCTGTATAGACTCAAAGCTCTGTAGGTAGGTTCTGTGTTGCTCTGCGTATGTTGAATGATTGTGTCTGACACATAAGAGGTGCTCTATAAATGTTTACATAGCTTCAAGTAGCGTGAGGCCTGAAAGTTATGGGAACTGGACATTTGGGAAGGGGAGAGAGAGTAGGAGAAAGAGGGATAAGCATGGGGAAAATCTATGGGGGGAGATCTTAGGAATATCAAGAAGAATACCTCAAGACAAGTATTTCTCACAGCAGAAATGGATGACCATTTTAATAGAGAGAAGTTTTCCTTTGATGTACGCTTCTCCATCATGCCAAAGGGAAGGGTTGGTCCAAGTGCTTGACAACCAGAGCTGACTATGGGAATCAAGGAAGAGTAGAGAATTATATATTCACCTAGTCCCAAACTTTCAAGTTTTTGTTGAGAACTAATGCTGTTTCTGACAATCACATGTTTGCAATCCATTTGGAGGGACAAGGGAAAAAACCAAAGGAGAACAAGACAATGTTAGTACAGCCTACGTTGTTGAATAATCTAGAAGAACGCTCAAAAACTTTGAAAAAACTAAATTAGAAAAGGGGTTTAGCAGAAGCTCCAACTCATGTTTTGGTCTTCTCTGCGTGGTATATTGATGAAGCACCGTAGGTGATAATGGAACCTGGGAGTTTAGGAGACTTGAAGCTGGCCACACAAGGAGCAGGAATACAAGTTATTGATGCCCCATGATCATGCAACGTTACCTGCCAAAATGCATCTTAAATGGACAAAATATACATGGAGAGATCAGTGGGTCCCCAATGAGGCCGTTTTTTAAAGGCATTTTAGGTGAGTGAGTCTGTTTTTGTCATTGGAAAATAGTCACTATTGAAATACAAGAATACAGATAGAATTTCCAAGCTTTTTTCAGCAAGTTACCTAAGTATGCAAAAATATTAGAGTTCAGAAGGCATAGATGTTTGTGTAAATTAAATTTAATCTCTCTAATCAGAGATTAAAGTTAACAGTACCACCTTGGATTTTGCTTATGGACTCTAAAGTTAGAGTTTTGAAGACAGTACAACAGAGCATCATTTTTCTTTTTTTGAGGAAGATTGGCCCTGAGCTAACATCCATGCCAATCTTCCTCTACTTTATATATGTGATGCCTGCCACAGTACGGCTTGACAAGGGGTGCATAGGTTCACACCCAGGATCCAAACCGGCAAACACCAGGCCACCAAAGCAGAACGCACGAACTTAACCATCACGCCACCAGGCCGGTCCCCAGAACATCGTTTTTAAGTAGAAAATTTTTCATGCAATTTGATTCTAATTATAATTTGTTTCTTAGAAATAAATATGAGTGCTTAAAATTCTAACGTTTGGCTTCATATCGTTTGGATATTTCTGGAGCTTCAAAAAACCATTAATATTGAGAGATGAATTAAAAATCTGGGTTTCAGAAATTAGATATGTATTATCTAAAGCCCATATCATTCCTAGGATCTAAATGAAGTAGCTATAATATATCATAGACATTATGTAAAAAAGTGCCAAACTGTTTAGCAGGTGGCATCTGGGACAATGGTCCCAGTAAGGGACTGCCATGAATGCAAGTTTGCCAATCCATGTCATACTGGATTAAGCCCCAAAGTCAAAGCAGTATCATTGTTGGTTATTGTAGCTATAATAAAAGAAAATACTGTCTGGGGCTGGCCCGGTGGTGCAGCAGTTAAGTGTGCACATTCTGCTTCAGGACCCCGGGATTTGCTGGGACGGATCCCAGGTGCGGACATGGTACTACTTGGCAAGCCATGCCGTAGTAGTCGTCCAACATATAAAGTAGAGGAAGATGGGCACGGATGTTAGCTCAGGGCCAGTCTTCCTCAGCAAAAAAAAGGAGGATTGTCAGATGTTAGCTCAGGGCTAATCTTCTTCTTCAAAAAAAAATACTGTCTTAGTCCATTGAGCTGCTATAACAAAAATACCATAGACTGGGTAGTTTATAAACAACAGAAATTTATTTCTCACAGTTCTAGAAGCTGGGAAGTTCAGAATGAAGGTGCCAGCAGATTCAATGTCTAGTGAGAAGCCACTTCCTGGTTCACAGACAGCCATCTTCTCTCTATGTCTTCACATGGTGGAAGAGGGCAAGGGAGCTCTCTAGGATCTCTTTATAGGGGTACTAATCTCATTCATGAGGGCTCCATCCTCATGACCTAACCATCTCCAAAAGTCCCCATCCACTAAAACTGTCACATTGGGGATTAGGTTTGAACATATGAATTTGGGAGACACAAACATTCAGTCTATAGCACATACCCAGAAGAGAAACTGAATTATGGAATGTTAGAGCTAAGAGTACGACATAATAGAAATAACAGAGGGTTAGAAACCAGAAGACACTCACAGAGATACTTTGAGGAAGTCTTTTAACATCTTTGAGTCATAGTTTCTTCATCTGTACTGCAGGGACAATTTCTACTTTATAGCTAAGTGAGGACCAAATGAGAAACTATGTGGAAAAGCTTTATAAAGTTTAAAGTACGATGTGAATATTAGTTACTATTCTCAGTACAGCATATTTCTTAGAAAACACCTAGCCAGTCTTCAGACTTTTTAGACTCAGATCCTGAGACCTAAAGCACTTAAGAGATTTGCCACAGGTCTCTCAGCTAGATAGGAACTAAGCAGATACCATGACCCTCAGCTCATTTGATGGTTACAGGAATAGTCAGACCCCAGGAGGGTCTGGGGATCCCCTTGTGGTCCCCAGATGGAGTGATGTCCTTATGCTGCACACTCTTGATTTTTGCATGAAAATTGTGACTCTCTCCTATTAAGGTCCCATCTTCTTTCAGCTCAAGTGGGTGTGGATCAGTGAGAAGCCACCAAGATCGTACGACTGTGCCCAAATTAGGTAGATTTTCTTGTAATTCTGCCTGAGCTCACAGAGAGCAGGGTAACAGGTCTCTCTGAAAACCCAGCTACTCCATGTGATGGCAGGAGTGGCTGCAACCTCTTCTCCTGACCTCCATTCAGTTTTGTCTGTACATCTATTGCCCTTACTATCCATCAGCAAAAGACTGCACAGCTCTGGGACCAGAAGCAGAAACTTATCGATCATCACTTTGCATTCCGTTTACTTCTCCTCAGAAGGGATCTAAGTCTGTGGATGACAAAACCACAGGAGTGGTTAGGAGGCTAACTCATCCTGAGCCTCAAAGAACAAACATGGCTGGGTGTGGCCATGCTAACTGGGAGTATCCGGTGCCCCACAAGGACAGGCACCTTTGATAAGTCCAGAGAACTTATTGGCAAGTGTTGCCTTGTGCTCAACTTTAGAAGAGAAGTCATTTACAGAGATTGAGGCTTAAAAAATACAGTGCAAGTAACTATGACATACAAAACCATCTACAGAAGCTCGTTATCCTGGAAGCTATGGCCTTTCTAAACACCCTCTCCTTATTCTCCTCTCAGTCAAGGCACACCAACTGTCCTTGACCTTACAGGACATAAATTAACCCAAACATGACCTCAGTGTTTTGTATTTTTTTTTTTTTTTTTGACAGAAAAAATAAGAGAAGCTATAATGAAAGGAAAGGTGTAGTAAAAAAAAAAAAAGTGGTTTGTGTATGTGTGTATTTACATATATAGCAGCAAAAGTCTTTATTCAAATGAAGTTTTAAATGGAACAGAAATAAATAAAATAGATAAAAGCAGAACTACTCAGGGAGCACAGAGGTGGGACTCAGAGACTGCGCATCCTTTTCTCCACTCTGGTGGTTTCTTAGGCACATTCGCCCAACTTGAAGGATAGAAAATCACTGTCCAGGTGGCCAGATCCTGGGGTCCCTTGTAGGGCTGGGGTTTATTTTTAGTTGTTGGACCAGGGCCGTGGCTCCTCCAGTCCTGCAGGCCTCACTAACTTGGAAAGGGACTTTCCTGGCCTCTTGTTTTATTACCATGTCTCAATGGAAATGGGAAGCCATTTCAACACCCAACATCTTCCCTTCCCCATTTTGGAGGCTGGGAGCTGTGGCTTCCTACAGAAGGAATAGTGGGGAAATATTCCCCCCAGCTGATAGAAATTGTGCTGGCCATAGATATCCTGACGCTTTGTTACTCACCTCGAGGCTGTAAACTTGGAGGTACAGTGGGGGTCTTGGGGCTGGTGGGGAATGTCAAGGGCTCTGGCATGTGCTGTGATACACTACACTCTCTCCTAGTCAAATATAACAAAGTCGTGATCCTACAAGCAATGCTGGTGTATACAATGGGAGTTCCTTATGTGTTTCTGGGCAAGGAGAAAAGCCACTGAGTTGGTAGGTGGTGTGGTATAGGGGAGAGAGGCCTGGACTCAAATGGAAGAGCTGGGTTCTAGTCTTTGCTCTATAATTACTGAGGGATAGTCCACTCAATCCCCTAGGGGATCACTTCTCTATCTGTGAAAGAAGATAGACCAGATAATCCATGCATTCTCTCCAGGCCTTAAAAATTTTGAATATTTGTAAGTTTGTAGAATCAAAAATGAATTCCTATGACATTAGTTTTGGCTAGGATTTGGTGCAGAAGGTGGAAGCTGGAAGAAGAGTTACAAGAGCAGCCATTTACTGAACTCTTCCTATGGGTCAGACAGGGCACGCTGCATGTTCTCACTTAGTGGCAGTGTGAGGTAGGCACGGCATTTCCTCCTTTACTAGAGAAAGGCTAAGGGCATAACTTGCCCAAAGCACACTGCTAAAAAGAGGTAGAGCCTGAATTAAACTTTCCCATGACACAAAAGCCTGCTCTCCTATCCAGCTTCCCCCAGAGCTAATCTGACATCAACAGTTGCTGCAGCTGAGCCACCTGCAGATAACCGTCAGCTGACAACTTTTACTTTCACCAGGAGTAGCCCAAGATTATCTCACACTGCTTTCCTAGTTTACAAGAGGAGCAATACAAGGCAATTCTCTCTTCATGAAGCAAAGTCTGACAATGTTTTCAGACACCGAGCACAGTCTCATATGTGTTGTTTCCCAGACAGGGTTTTCAGTAACTTCCATGAATGGCAAATATAATCTCTTTGCTTAACTCAAAAAAAGAAGAAAGCTTCAGGAGAAAAGTTAAGGCAAGAGATATTCCTATCCTCAGCACTGAGGGAGTGTAATTGGAGGAGCAAGACAAGGAGGCAGGCAGCGCATCTGAGTGTGCAACGCTGACTTCAGCTTTTCTACTCTAAAGTCAACTCAGCTCTTTAGAGTTGCAAAGAACAAACACAGGCCCACCACACCCTATGTTCTAACTACTGAGAGCATATGCCAGCAGGAAGGGGAGTGAGGACAAGCAGAGCCTGGCAGAAGGAGGTGGCACCCAAATACCAAGCCCCAGCTTACACCTGAGCCTGCCGCTACAGCAGTATGGGAGATGGAGCAAAGCAGATGCTGTCATGGGTCCTTTGCCTTGCCTCATCTCCCCAAACCTTCGATTCCCACTTCTAAATCCCAGAGGGCAAAGTATTAGATTAGTAGATTTGCCTAGGTCAAATCTACTCCAGAGAAAGGAACTGAAACTCCGTATTCTTTTTTTTTTCAAGATTTTATTTTTCCTTTTTCTCCCCAAAGCCCCCTGGTACATAGTTGCATATTTTCAGTTGTGGGTCCTTCCAGTTTTAGCATGTGGGATGCCGCCTCAGTGTGGCTTGATGAACAGTATTATGTCCCTGCCTAGAATCCGAACCAGCGAAACCATGGGCCGCCGAAGCAGAGTGCGCGAACTTAACCACTCAGCCACGGGGCCGGCCTCTGAAACTCCATATTCTTGATGCATAATTAATATCTTATAATTATTATTACTATTATCATTTTTAAATAAGTTTATTTTTTGCAGTAGTTTTAGGTTCTTAGCAAAATTGAGCAGAAAGTACAGAGAGTTCCCATATATCCCCTGGCCATACACTTGTGCAGTCTCCCCTACTATCAACATCCCACACCAGAGTGGTATATTATTTATAATCAATGAACCTAAATTGACACATCATTATCACCCAAAGTCCACAATTTACGTTTGAGTTCACTCTTGGTGTTGTATGTTCTATTGGTTTTCACAAATGTATAATACCATGTATCTTCCATGGTAGTACCATACAGAACAGTTTCACTGCCCCCAAATCTTCTGTGCTCTGCTTATTCACCCCTCCCCCCACCCTAACTTTTGGCCACCTCTGATGTTTTTACTGTCTCCGTTGTTTTGCTTTTTTCAGAATGTCAAATAGTTGGGATCATATAGTATGTAGTCTTTTCAGATTGGCTTCTTTCACTTAGTAAAATGCATTTAAGTTTCCGCCATGTTTCTCATATTTTGATAGCTCATTTCTTTTTAGTGCTAAATGATATTCTATTGCCTGGATGCACCACAGTTTATTTTTCCATTCATCTACTGAAGGACATCTTGGTTGCTTCCAAATTTTGGCAATTATGAATAAAGCTGCTATAAACATCCATGTGCAGTTTTTTGTGTGAATATAAGTTTTCTCAACTTATTTGGGTAAATAAAAACGAGTAAAATTTCTGAATCATATGGTAAAAGTATGTTTAGTTTTATACGAAACTTCCAAACCGTCTTCCAAAGTAGCTGTACCATTTTGCATTCCTACCAGCAATGAATGAGAGTTCCTGTTGCTCTACACCCTTGTGAGCATTTGGCGTTGTCTGTGTTCCAGATTTTGGCCATTCTAATAGGTGTGTAGTGGTCATCCTGTTATTTTTAATTTTGAATCACAAATGTGGTTTTACATTTGTATATGTAGTTTAGTTATTTGATTAATGTTTGTATTCCCTTTATAAACTGTGAGTTCAGTGAGAGCAGGGGCTGCCTCTGCTTTTGTTAATTTTATCACTTATATGTAGCATAGTGCCTTGAACATAATAGACCCTCAATGAATATTTCAATGAGTGAGTGACCAGCCTCATCAACTCATTTTGAAGGTGAACTTTTACACAAGGATCCAGGTCTACTGAAGATAGTGGAGCAGAATCTGACCTGCTTAGACCATTCCTATGACACCAGTTCACCTGAGGCTGTCAGAACTCGGCAGTCTCCACAGCCATAGTCAGAGGCATCTGGGCATCTGGCTTTGGTAGTTCCTGGTTTAGGCAGTTGTCTTTATGCAAATTCTAAATTATTCAACCCACTTCACCATCCCTTGGCCAGACACAGCTCTTTTCCTTTTTGCTTCATCTGAGGAAAGCAGACTTCTTACTCAAGCACTTCTTTAGGGCTTCGTGGATGTCCTTGTTTCTCAGGCTGTAGATGATGGGGTTGAACATGGGTGTCAGGATGGTGTAGAGCAGAGAGAACCCTTTGTGCAAGAGTTGGGAAGAGTTGGCTGAGGGCATGAGGTATGTGCCAATCAGTGTCCCATAAAACACCGTGACCACCGTGAGGTGGGAGGAGCAGGTGGAGAAGGCCTTTTGCCGACCTGTGCCAGAGGGAATTCTTAGGATAGCAACAAGAATGCAGGAGTAGGAGGCCATGATGAGGAGAAATGGGACCAGAGTCACTGCAGAAGAGGTGGCATAGGCAATGGTCTCAGTCAGTGAGGTGTCCATGCAGGAGAGATGGACCAGAGGGGTGAAGTCACAAAAGAAGTGATCAATTTCATTGGGTCCACAGAAGGTTAGTTGAGACAGTAGGACCATAGTGATTGCTGTGAGGAAGAAACAGCAGAGCCAAGAGCTGGCAGCCAGCCTCATGCAGAGGGGGCCAGTCATGAGGATGGGATAGTGGAGAGGTTGGCAGATAGCCAGGTATCGGTCATAGGACATCACAGCCAGCAAGAGGCACTCTGTTGCAGCCAGGGATCCAAAGAAGTAGAATTGTGTCAGACAGCCAGCTACAGAGATAGTTTTCTGTTCAGCTATGACGATCAGCAACATCTTGGGAACAATGTTGGAGGTATACCAGATCTCCAGAAAGGACAAATTCACCAGGAAGAAGTACATGGGGGTGTGGAGGTGATAGCTGACCAAAACTAGCAAGACAATGAGGATGTTTCCAGAAACAGTTAACATGTAGAAAACTAAAAATATCATAAAGAGGAAAATATTCAGCTGTCGGACGGAAGAGAATCCTCGAAGCACAAATTCCACTATAGTTGTCTGGTTTTCCCAGAGTGAGATCGCCATGCCTTGGCTGCCCTACACACCCAGTGGTAAAACACGCCAAATGCAGGAAGTTCTAGCTCACACACAGAACACGGGCTGACAGCAGATGACTTTCACTCCCCACTTAGGTTTTTGAAGTTTTTTATTTGAGTTGAGGAGTATCTTCTTTCTTTTTACAAGGCCTAAAATGGGAAAGAAAAGAATTTGCAGTAAGAACTTATGAGCACCTCAATCCCCCTTCTTCTCTTATCTATTTCTTCACTTCATCAGGAGCAATGTCAGGCTTTGGGGAAACCAGGAAATGGAAGAAAGGGGAAGAAGAGGGGAAGGAAGAACAAAGGAAAAAGAAAGGGAAGAATCACCTGATCTACCCTTATCCTGAATGTACTATGATAGCCTGGGGAATTATGGGAAGAAATGAAGGAGATCCAAAAGGAAGATGAACACATTCCAGAGGGTTTATGAGCTCTCAGACAGGATCTAGCAAATCAAGGCCCCAGGACCAAGAGCTCCCCCTCCCTCCTCAAGCACTGGTTATCTTTAGGGAAAACGCTCCTATCAGATCTATTGAGTATTCCTCTCCTTTCAGCTTCTTAGTGAGGTGAGAGGAAAGTTTCTTATCTCTGTTTTGGTTTCCAAAGTACTAGCAAGAGAAAACCATATGAGTGTGAGGTTTAAGATCCTCTGATTATGAGGCCAGTGCCCAGGCTGATGTAATTCAGGGGCAGGAATGTTTTCTCTTACAATTTTAAATAGATAAAATCAGGCCATTAAAAAGACTTTTTAGGGGGCCAGCCTAGTGGCATAGTGGTTAAATTCCTGTGCTCTGCTTCAGCGGCCCAGGGTTCATGGGTTCAGACCCTGCGCGTGGACTTACACACTTCTCATCAAGCTATGCTGTGGAGGCATCCCACATATAAAACAGAGGAAGACTGGCAATAGATGTTAGCTCAGGGCCAATCTTATTTACCGAAAAGAAAAGATTTTATTTGGGGCTAAATGGGAAAAGAAGATTTGAAGATTTGGAACCAGGTGGGCAACCAACCAACTGAGTGTAAGATAGCCTCAGGTTCTTTTGAGTGAGATAAGGAAGTCTTCTCCTCAATTCCATCTTGGTCTACACCATACACCCTACCATGAGTTTAAGACAGATAGAGAACTGCCCAAAACACACTGCTGTCCACAGAGGGTCTGAGACTGAAACCACTTTACCATTCTCAACCCCCTTGTACTGGATCTGTATCTCCTTAAGATAGCTGTGGAGGGACCAGATTGCTGCAGGTTAGCAAGTGGAGATGGGAAGACCCACGTGCAATTCAGAAAGCACTCTGTGAGTGTAATAATGAGGTACTTATTATGAGTGGCCAGAAAGCCCTAAACAAAGTCAGGGGCTCTGCTTTATAAGAAACATCCTGTGCAAGTTAACACCTCTGAGATGCAGTTTTTCATCTGTAAAATAAGATACAGGGTAGGAGAAGAATTTAACATGTGCTTAGCATGTGCAAAAATCATATAAATGATTGTGAAATCACAGGGCTGCCAATATCACTTAAATCTACCAAGGAATTGCCCTTACTTTGAAGGAGGTATTGACAACAAATCCTGGTTTCTTTTGCTGCATCCTGCAGCATATATGCATGTATTTGTGTGAGTAATTAAGCTCTTCCTGCTATGTCTTATACTAAAAGGTTTTGGCAATACATCAATCTCATTTTAAAATTGATCCAGTGTCCTAGGTACCATTCTGTGGAGCCCTAGTTCCAGCTTTTCAAGTGGCTCAGAACTAACCTGGAATCTGTGCTGACCAACAGTCCAGGTACTCAGATGATGCTCAGCAGCTGGCGATCAGAATCTGAGCCCATTGAGCGAAGCATGGTGAAGATACAAAGAGAGGACTTCGCTCCATCCCCTGCAAAGCACAAATAAGGATCTGAGACCTCAGAGATAGGGCTTCGGTTCTGACAGAACACAGCTAGACTCCTGAGTGCTGCTAATGATGACGTTATTACTTGATACCAGGCACTGTCTTAAGTGCTGAAAATATATAACTCAATCATCACAACAAGCCTATGTGGTGATACTCTTAATATCCTTTCTTTCCAGATGGAGTCACAGAGAAGTTAAATAACTTACCCATGGTTATCAGCTAGAAAGTGACAGAGATGAGATTCAGTCTTGCTCTGGAGCTCTCAGTCCTAATTACTAACACTGCCTCCTATAGGGCCCTGGTACATAGGCTAGCTTGCATTATCTCACAGAGATGGGAAGAGGAAAGTTTCCACAAGCAGCCTCTCATCCAGCTTTTCACTTCAAAGCAAGTGAGGCTTGCTTTGTTGGTTGGTGAGGGAGCAATCCCATAAAGGGTCACGAACTCTGACAAGATAAGGTTTCTACCTGTCTCCTGGAGTTGCTTTCACACTGCTACTTTTATGTCCTTTCTTTATAATCTTACAAAAAAAGTCAGGTCAGCCTATTACCTTAAAAAAAATCTAAAAACACTTTTTGAGAATGTGCACAGGGAATTACCACTTGCTCTTACTGGAAAATTACATTTCTGCTGCAGGGCTGCTGCACCAACTGGATGCGGTGCAGAAAGGTATGATGGAGAATGAAAAGCCACTGAAAGGTAGGAGACAACAGACAAGAAAGGCAGTGAAGCCTGGTTAAGAGCACAGGCTCTAAAACTAAATAGGCCTGGATTCAAATCCCTGCTCACCCACGAAGACATGTGAGCAAAGACGTCTTATAACCTTTAAGAGAAGAACAACTCTGCTGCCTCCAAGTCTGTGAAAATGTGGTTTTAGAGGTCAACAGAGAAGTTGATGACACTAACCTCCCTACCCTAGCATGTAGCCACTCTCTCTTCTTCTATCTCCTGAGCAGAAGTGAGAAAACCGAGAAAGGCTATTATTGAAAAAGCTAGAGATGTGGACTCTGCTAACATGCTCCTATGTTAACTTTGCTCGTGTATGCTGCATGACTCCAGAGCCAGACACCAAAGTCACACAATATGTCTGCAATTCATGTTAGCACAGGGCTGAGTCCAGAGTAAGTGCTCAATAAATGGCAGAGCTTCTCTCCTCTCCTCTTCCTCTCTCTCTTCCACTTCCTTTTTTCCTCCCAATTATGCCAGCACAGAGAGCTCTTTTAGGAAGGCTCACTGGAGGTGTCCAACAAAAGAAACTTATGAAGACAATTAAAGGAGACTAAAGCACTGGAGAAAGTGGATTTGATGATTTTTAACATCCCTTTCAAACTTGAAATTTTTTTCTAATTGAGAAGCATTCCATTCCCCCAGGACACACACACACAAATCAAGCTTGTGGGAAGAAGAGGCTTATCACAAAGCAAAGGAAAAACACAAATACTCCGTGAATAATCACAGGTTTTGTTGCTTCCACTAACAAAAAAGTAAGGGATGACATGAAGTGACTCAAGTGCCATCTAGACAGGGTCCGTTCTCTTAACTGAATTAAGTGGTCAATGAATTAACCAATCAATTCAGCCAACGTTTGGCTTGATAACAGCCGTGACTCTTGCCAGCTATTACTTAATTCAGGTGAATAGTTGGTCAACCAGATAGACAAATAGTTTGATTTTTGTCATTAAACTGATAATTGATTTTGTATGCACGGGAATTGTACCCCTGGCCTCATCTAGGGAGGGCAGGCTCAAAACAGGAAAAACTGAAGTGTATAGCAGCAGAATAGATGAGCTTTACCTGTCAGTGCCTCAGAGGGATCCACTCCTACTTTGGGGAGCCAGGCCGAGACAATGGCATATCCATCCCCTCTGGATTCAGAGAAATGGGATAGACATCTGAAATCCCACTTTTATTCAAAAGTACACGTCCCTGTGCACTTGACAAAAGCTAAGTCGGGGTGTTTTTCTGCATGAACCTAGGTGCCAGTTGAGTTTTGGGCCCATCTCTCAACCTCCTTCCTCTGTGTAAACTTCAGTCCCACTGTGAGCAAAGCCATCACCTCCCCTGACACTGGTGCTCGTGGGCATTTCCCAAATGACCCTGGTGGGGAATTGCTGTTTATTTTGCAAACTATATGAAACCAAGTTTCCTTTACCTTAAAGGAAATCTCTTTTTCTCTTGCTTTGTTTTAAGCTTCTACTTTAATGCTCTGTTGTATTTATATGACCTTTATAAAGAGATTTAACTTGATAAAAATGCATGATTATGTTATGCTTTGGGAGAATGGATTAAAATAATATTTTGAGGAAGTATTCAATTCTTTTTATTCTCTGGAAGAAACATTATTATGCATTTCCTTATTGTGTAGTTTTGATAGGAAACAGAAACAAGTATCAGTGATAGTAAACACATTATCAAAACCATTAATTGGGATTCTAAAGAACTTATGTCCTCCTGGATTCTTGTCATTGATGCAAAATAGTAACTAAGGCTAGCCTTGTTATAGGAAACGTAAGTTTGTAAGCAGCAACCTTATGGAATTAAAATTATCATTTACTGACTGGCATTAACAAACTGGAGAGATATTTGCTCAAACTAAGAAATTAATACAGCTGTCCAATAAGTGTAACAAATGAAACAATAATAAAATAATCAATGAATTGAAACTACCTCATTTGTTCTTTTTTTTTCTCAAGATTGGCACCTGAGCTAACATCTGTTGCCAATCTTTTGTTTTTTTCTGCTTCCTCTCCCCAAAGCCCCTCAGTACATAGTTGCATATTCTAGCTGTAAGTGTCTCTGATTGTGTTAAATGGGGCACCGTCTCAGCACGGCTTGATGAGCAGTGCCATGTCCACGCCCAGGATCTGAACCAGCGAAACCCTGGGCCACCCAAGCAGAGCGCGTGAACTTAACCACTTGGCCATGGGGCCAGCCCCTCATTTGTTCTTTAGAACTGAAGTATTTTCTCTATGAACCAGTACCCAGACTTCCTGAAACCCTGGTATTTGCCACTATTTGAATGTCTTTCCTGAAATCTGCTAGGAAACCACTGTATGCCTACGCCAGGCATTGTGCTAAGCCTGCATTATCTGTAATCTTCACAACCCCTCTGCATGCTGCCTATTTTACAAATGAAGAAATACAGGCTTTGAGAGATGAAGTGACATGTTCAAAGTTACTCAGGCAGAATATGAGGGAGCTGGAATCCAACTGAAAGCTCCATGAGGACAGAGCCTGTCTATTT